CAACAGGGTGCCTTCACTAAGGAGGTTCACATCTCACTTGTGAATAGATAGGGCTGGGCCTCTTACCTGGTCAGGCCTTAACACCCACCTGATTGTTATCAGGTCCATCCTGTCAATTTCTATTTACCTCTCAAAGGGAAAACTTCCTCATGGTTTAAACACCACCTTTCTTAGGCTTTCTAATAATGACTCTGTCCTTTGTTTTAGACACTGTGAGTTTAATCTGCTTTTTAGATTTGCTTTCTTCAGACTTGAAACGGTGAAATTTTAGATGGCCATGCACATGAAACCTTGGATGGAATCAACTTCTGCAAGCTCCCACTGCATCTCTCTAGAGAGGCCACCTGCTGGAACCTTGTCTTGACTACCTTTCCCAACTCTGCCCCTACTCAGTGTGAAGAAGCCAGAGAGGTCATCATCCCGTACCCCCTAACAGAAGTTGGGGTCCATTCCTCTAAGTGAGGGAATGTGAAGAGTCAGATGGGTTAACAGACAGTTATGTTGGCCCCTGTGGAAATTTAGGTGCAAAATGATTTCTTCCCCCAAAAGTTATCTTTAGCAAGGTCAAAAGCTCCTGCCCCACTCCTTGGGAGCTCCCAATCTTATCATGAAAATAGTAAGGGAGTGTGACTCCACCCTTCTGAGCTTCCAGTTTACTGTATAACAAATTAGATAGTGCACCCTTTTAATAGCTCCTTTGTTTTATTGTGAGCGAGTCAAACAGGATAAAAAGATTAAAAGTAAGTTTTTTTGATGAGTTTGTCCCTGCCTTGTACTGACTGGCAGTGCTTTTCTTCCCCCAAATTGTGCTTAAACCCCCAGTACCACCAGCCCCTTTGGGTTTTGTCTCTTGGAGTCCCCATCCTGGCCACTCTGCCAGGAAGCCTCTGACTTAAATAAATCTTGCTTTTAAATTTAAAAAGGATGTAGGTCCTCCTGTGGTGATGGCCTTCTTTTGGGCATCATAGAGCATTGAATAGTATAAGATAGTCAGTGCGTGCATCTCTCTGTTTCTGTGTTTGTATACACACACACACACACACACACACACACACACACATATATATATATGAATCTATCTATCTAACTACCTATCTATCTATATTCAATCATTGGTAGTCCACTAAATGGCCTTGTCTAAATCCAATCACTTCCCAAAGGCCCCTTTTCTGAACAGCATAGTCAGATTAAGTTTTCCCTCTCTGAATGCCATTAATATGTGACTTTGGAGATGAAATTCCTACAAGTGTTTGGGGAGACAATCCATATTCACACAATAGCAGCTCCCATGTTGGATTTATTTCTTTAGTACAATGAGAGTGCCATGCGAGAATCTGAGTGCAACTGGAATAGGTAGTAAAATCAGGATATCAATTTTTTAGTGTAAACATAGCAGAAAGAGATTCTGGCTAAAGGGTAAATGACAGTACTCATTGCTCAACTTCAGCGCCTTGAGATTGGCTAAAATTATCTTCAACTTGCTTGAGTTTCAAAGATATTATTGAATTCCTAGTTTGGACTATTTCCACAGTTTTGGAAAAGCTTTGATCATTATCACTGTTAACACTTTTCTTATTCTTTTCTTCTGGAACTCCGACTGTATCATTTATTATCCTCCCACTATTTTCTTTTCCACTATTTTATCTCTGTGTGTTTCAGACTGGATAATTTTTATTGATTTATGTTTTAATTCATTGTTCTTTTATTCAGCTCTGTCATGTCTGCTGTTAGGCCTCTCACATTAATTATTAAGTTTAGGTATTATAGTTTTCAATTTTAGAATATTTGAATCTATTTTAGAAGTTTTCTTTCTCTATTCAATTTATCTAAATTTTAATCTTTTTATTCTTCTAAGTTCTTTTTCAATTTGTAATAGTTTTTTAAAGGTCATTATTTCCTAATTCCAATATCTGGGTCAGATGTGGGTCTGCTATTTTGACTATTTTCTCCTCTTAATTATGGCATTGTGATTCAGGCAATGATATAGACTGAAATAAATATTGTTTTACCTCAGAGAGGCAAACCTTTTATTAAGACAGGAAACAAGAATAAAGGGATGATGATGAGTTAAGTGATATCTGTGTTGACATTTTATTTATTTTGGCTTACCTGTGGTTTCATATGTCTAAGGTCAAGATATATCATGCTTACATAGCTGGTCCCTGGTCCCTCTTTTTGGCAGGACATTGTATTCTGAGAACCTTAAGATGAAAGGAGATTGTTCTCTTTCCATGTTAATCCATTTAACCTCCCTTAACTTCACCATGCCCTTAGCAAGACTCAGGAACAGAAGAATCTGTGGGTGGGGAGAAATAGAGCTGGGTTGTTGAGTTTGGGGTCTCACGAATTTCAATCCATATAACACATGACAACTAAAAGCTTTTCTTGCTTATCCTTATCCCACATAAGACCAATTTCCTAAGGAAGTGATAATCTTCCACTGTCTCATGAGAAGACATGCAAGATGCTATCAGGGAAGAAAACAGCCACTACCCTCTGTTTTTGTAAGAAGAGCTCAACACTCTTTGGAATTTGATTATTTTAGACTTCTTTGTGTCCATAACATGCCAATGTTCTTAAAAATACATGTGATAGTCCCTATTAGTTTTAGTTGTGGGAAGAATTGTCTGTCTTGAATTTCCGTATCTTAAGCAGAAGAAGAATTCTCTCTGGTAATTATGATGATCATAATCTTGCCCTCTTCATGGAGGAACTAGGACAGCTTATATTTTTCTTCCCTTTTAAGAATTGGTAGCAAAAAAAAAAAAAAAAAAAGAATTGGCAGCAATAGATATTGTTAGTAGGTCCTGAGGCAATCTCATTGTAATAGTGAGTTACTACAAGTAACACACATTAAAATTTCTTTGGCTGACGATGAATATTAATGTTTTTATCATGAAACTTTGAGTTGTCTGTGGTTAAGCTGGAATCACCTGGACTTCACTTTAAGCTAAGGATTGGGTTCAAGTATTATCCATATACCCCATATGTATCTTTAGCTATCTAGGAAATCATCTTATGGTAGATCTGGGAGACTAATAGGATCGTGATATGTGCCATGGATTGAATGTTTGTGTCATCCTAAAACTCATACACTGAAACTCTAATCTCCAATTTGATAGCATTTGGAAATAGGGCCTTTGAAAGGGACCTAGGTCATGACGGTAGAGCCCTCATGATAGGATTAGTGTCCTTATAAAAAGAGACACAAAATAGGTTGCTTCCTCTTTGCTCTCTCTCTCTGCTATGTGAAGATACAATAAGAAGATAGCCACCTGAAAACCAGGAAGAATGTCTTACCAGATAAAAAGATCTGCTTCCACCTTGATCTTGGATCTTCCAGCTTTGACAACTGTAAAAAATAAATATTTGCTACTTAAGCCACCTAGTCCATGGTACTTTTGTTATATCAGCCTAAATCAACATAAATAATACAGCAACAATTTCGAAGCATCTTCCTATGTTACATCTGCTAACATTTCATTGGTCAAACCGAATCATCATGACAATGTCAATATAAACAGAGAAGAAAAGTAGACTATACCAAGATAGGGCAGAACTGCAAAATCAAAGACTAATGGAATTCTACAACAGAGAAATAAAGAATTTTAAAAAATAATTCAATCAAGAAGACATGGGTAGAAATAATCCAAGCAGAGCTGCAGTAACAAGGGCCTAAAGGATGCACAAAGTTTATCTACCCATGAAAGGAGTCTTTCACATTTTATGCCTTAACCTTAAAGAACCTATATGGCAAGTTCATCCAAGAATAGGCAACTAAAGCCAAGATGCTGAACCTGTTCCAGTTGGAAATATTCCTCTCACCTCTTCCTCCTGAATCAGATGCTAATAGAAAAATGAGTCAATTAAAGAAAAGGAAAGACCAGGTGTCTCATGAAATGTACAATGCAACCAAAGGAGCCCATAGAGCTCACAGAATTGTTGCTGTTGATAATATATATCACCATCAGCACCTTAGATTCTACCCTAGTATAGTAGTTTTCAAAATTTAGCAAATAGCATAATTACCTAGAAAGCTTATTAAGCAGAGTCCTGGGCCTCAAACAAAAGCCCATAATTTAGTTGGTCTGAAGTGAGACCAAATAATTTGCAATTCAAGCAAATTTCCACTTGCTACTCTTGCTGCCAAATTTAGGACAGCAGATTGAGGACCACTCTCTAGGTCCCAAAGTCTTAGAAGTAGAAACAATCCAAGAACTCCCCCAGAGATATTGGAATGGCTTCATTTTTAAAGTTGCCTTGATGTCTGGCCAGTGCTCTTGATAGCCTAAAGATATTCATCAGCATGCCATACCCTGCCATACAGAAGAGCCTTGTGTGGGGGTTATTGTGTTCGAATCCATCTCTACTATTGACTTGTTTTGCGACTTCAGACAAGCCATTGTGATCTCTCTTTCACGTTCTTAATGCTAAAAAAATTCCAGACATTGGCTGGCTGGCTGAATTATTTGTCTTCTAAAGAAGCTAATATCATTGAAGTCCTTAAAGCAGAGAGTAGTGTGGTCGTTGCCAGGATATGGCAGAAGGTATGGTGAAAATGGAGAAATGTTGGTCAAAGGTACAATCTCAGTTATAAGATGAATAAATTTTGAAGATTTATGTATGACATGGTGACTATAGTAAATAAATCTATATTGTTTACTTGAGATTTGATAACAGATCAGATTTTAAGTATTCTCATCACAAACACATACAACACAAAAAATGGTAACTATGGTACTTGTGGATGTGTTAATTTTATTTTGGTGATTTATACACAATGTATATGTATATTAAATCATCACAAAGTATACCTTGAATATATACAATTTTTAGTTTTCAATTAAATATTTAAAAATATTTTAACACTATTTCATGGTGTAGGTATACTTCAAAAGTTTGTGGAAATGAAGTTATTGATGCTAAAATTTTGAAATCCATGTGCAAGGTGTCTGGCGTGTGACAAATCTTCCCAGGCAGACGAATCAATTAATTCACAAGCTTTTATTGGGGTTCACTCCCAGGCAAGGTTCACCGGTCCCAACAGAACAACAGAGCAGGGGCCTGGGAAGTCATGCAACAGAGATTGGGAGGGCTCCTTTTGTAGATTCAGGGCATGGGGGTTAAAGGTTGAGGCGGGTCTGATCCTCATTGGTTGACCTTTAGGTACCCGCGGGGACCTTGACAAGGACTGTTCTTCCCTGGAAGTACAGGTAGGGACTTCTCCATTCCCGGAAGTGTAGGCCTTCCTTCCATGCGGATCCCAAAGCTACCACCATGCATTTGAGTTATTAGTAGCTCTGTGACTTTGGGCAATTTACTTTTCTTCCACAAGCCTCAGTTTTAGTCTGCAAAATAGATAAAAAACATTTGTACCCACCTTTGAGAACTACTGCAAGAATTTAATAAGATCATACATGCACAAAACATAGGACAGTTCCTGCAATCAGTAGATACTTAAAATATTGTGTGTGGGGGCCAGTGCCGTGGCACAACAGGTCAAAGCCCTGTCCTTAAGCGCCGGCATCCCATATGGCACCAGTTCTATTCCCAGCTGCTCCTCTTCCAATCCAGCTTCTGCTATGGCCCGAGAAAGCAGTAAAAGATGGCTCAAGTCCTTGGGCCCTTCACCCACGTGAGAGAGCCAGAAGTAGCTCCTGGCTCCTGGCTTCGGGTTGGCACAGCTCCGGCCTTTGTGGCCACCTGGGGAGTGAACCAGTGGATGGAAGACCTCTCTCTCTGTCTCTACCTCTCTCTATAACTCTGCCTTTCAAATAAATAAATAAATCTTTTTAAAAAATATTGTGTTTGATTATCATTTTTGTTCTTATCAATCATATAGAATTTCACACAATGCTATGGAATTCGAGAAGAGAGAGAGAGAGAGACCTTTTCCAGAAGAAAAAATAAAGGAAGGTCTTTTTTTTAAAAAAATGAAATTCTAGAGCTGTGTCATAATATCAAGGATAATTGGGCTTGCGGATGCTTCAGGTAGAGAGGAAGGGAAAGGCAGGCAGAAGGATTAACAGGAATCTAGACAGATGACAGAAAATGCAGTCTGTTTTGTGGTCAGGTAGAAGCTACATTTATTGTGAAGCAATACGGCAGACAATATTATGTCTGGATGTAAAGCAAGATAAGGGAGACCTTGGTTTACAAGGCCTGTGACTTTTTACTTTATTTAGGAGACACTGAGGAACAAATAAGTTTAGAGCACAAAGAGATAATCAGACCTGGAATGAAGACCTGGTTGCCGTACTTCAGAGATTTATAACTTGATGGTCACTTCGACATACTGAGGTTTTTTTCTTCCTCAGTATAAAATGAAGCTCAGGTAGGAGAGCATTGCAAAAAGTTCATGGAAATAGAATTACAAATTTAGTTTGATGGAGAATTTTTGAATTGTATATATTTTTTTCATAAAACACATTTTCATTAATGATTTGAAGCCCCTCACATGTAAGAGTATATCATAGTGCTGCTATGAGGATCAAAGGAAAAATACATGAATACAGGCATATATAGGGGGGTTCTACACTTATAGATTTGGAATAAATGGTTAAAAACATTTGCTACTTTCAAGCAATAGACAGATATCTATCTATGCATATATATATATATGTATGTATACACACACATACACATACAAATGTATGCATGTATATATATATGTATGTATGTATATATACACATATATATATATACATATATATAGAGAGAGAGAGCGCGCAAAACTGTCATTCAGTTTTCTTGCATATTAATAGCCCATGATTCATTTATTAAAACTAAGAAATTTATATGATCATTATTCTATTAACTAAACCAAAGACTTTTTTTGGATTTCACCATTTTTCCCTCTAACATTATTTTTTTTTCTGTTCTAGAATCTCATACAGGACACCTAGTTACGTTAGGTCGTCATGTATCCTTAATCTCCTCCAACATAAGACAGTTTCTTGCTCTTTCTTTGATGCCTGTGATCTTGACAATTTGAAGAGTATTTTCATGTGTTTTGAGAATGCCCTTCAGTTTGGATTGAACTGAAGCTTACATATGACTACATGGAAGTTAAGCATTTTTGGGAGGGATATCAAAGAGGTGATCACAAACATCAGGGTACAAGAAGGAATGGCTCCTTAATTTGCAGGGACCAGTACAAAATGAAAATGTGAAGTCCTTGTTCAAAAAGCAGGGAAAAATAAAATTATTAAGATATAAAGCATTTATTTTATTCTCAGTAATTTCTCTCTCAACTTGTCATGGTATTTTTTGTTATTCAATGTCATTTTGAATAAAGAAAAAGTAATATTTAAAATTATTAGTGTGAATCTCATCTTTTATCTTTATATCATGTGATGACAGTTTTAAGAACATGTATACTTGTAAGAACATTTAACTAGTCTGCAGAATCATCAATATCACACATCTGTATTCTGAAGTTTGAACTTGCATGTGTTCCTCTTTACCAAAACAGCAATGATGGTGCACAAAACAAATCCCATTGTTTTTATTGCATTTCTTAATGTGCGACATGTTCTACCAACACTCTCTACCTTTGGCCTACTGGTAAATAAGAAATAATTAAAAAAAATAAAGGAATGCTAGTTGTCCTACATGTCACTCTCTTCTGTGATACTCTGCATAAATAGTTACCTGAAACAAGGAAGTAACTTGAACAGAAAAGGATATCGTAGGGTTTCAAGGTGATTTGTGTTTTGCAGAACACCATTATCTTCTTTCTCTGTTCAAAGCAAACTCCTCTTCAAAAAAAAAAAAAAAAAAAAAAAAAAAAAAAAGAGCTTCTAAGGGCTGTCATTGTCACTGCTATCTGGGTCACAGATGTAAGTTAAACATGTTAACATTTACTTTGTACTTGCTGAACCTCAGGACCATAGACCCATTGAGATCTTGTGCTCCTCTGGCATTCTGAGTGCTATCAGTAGATCAGCTGGCAAGAAATGATAGCCATGCACATTGTGTTTATTTCCTCTGCTCACAGATACCATCCACGTTCCCATAACAAGTCACTCACCAAACACAAGTTCAGAGAGAAAATTATGAAGAATTTCAAGACCCCAAAACCAGAGCATTGAGACAAGTTTGGGATCCTACTGAGCACAGAGCTTGGTAAATGACGTCAACATGACTGTTACCATTAACCTTAATTGTCTGGTTGAGTTGGCAGCTCCCAGGGTTCTCCATTGTGAAGTCACTACATTTCCCTTGCCACATTCCACTTGTTAGAAGTGAATCACTAAGTCCAGCCCACACTTAATGAAAGGGAGGATTCTCAAAAAATGCTCACTCCTATACTAATTAATATTCATTTTGGAGTAGCTGATGCTTTTTGAATGTCATAACTCAAGGGCTAATTTTGGAGTCTCATGACCCACATCTCCCCAGTTCTGATGATACTATTCTGGCAAAAATGTTGCAGAATCTAAGAAATTAACATGAGTGCAATACTCATAACAATAGGAGAACAAAATAACTCTCCCTGTGCTATGAATGCCAATGTCTCAACTGTAGGAGATTCTAGGTTTTGGGGATCACCCAGACAAAAGGTGAAATGACCCTCTATCCAGGAACTGAACTGACCTACTTTCCTTGGAAAAAATCTCTCCCTTCGTGGCACACAATGAGATGGAGTTCTATTCATAGCATCCTCTCTTAGTGGATGACTGGGAGTAGGTAATTATCTGCCCATGGTGCAGGGAGCTCCAAGTCCCCTTATCACCCATGGTGTGCACAGCATCTTTGCCTGCCCGCAATTCCCCTTGTTTGGCAGATGCTGTCAGCAGAAGACGCTGAGTGCAGGCGAATTATTTCCACTACTTCCTGCTAATTTCAGTGCTGCATTCATCCAAGGCTCTTGAAATTCTTAATCAACAGGAATATGCTAACCTGAGACAGGGTCGCAGAGGGACAGCCTGGAGTTCTGGGTAGATTGGTGACAGCTGCTGCCCTCTCTCTCTGAAGAGGATTAGTGGAGATATCATCGTGCTTGGAGACAAGAGGAGGGATGAAACGGTCTTTTAAGGTCTTTTCCAATCTGGGAAGTCTATGAATATCACAACCAGCTGAGAGTGATTCTCCATGCTTTATTCATCATGAAAATGACGCAAATCCAGAAAAGCAGCTTTCTCAAAGGTAGGTGGCCACTAAACCAGGCATTTAGCACTCTGACAACACTTGGTGAGGAAAGTCCCTGAGTTTAAAAAAGGACATTTTAAGTATAGATGAAAGAAACGTGTGCATAGTAATGCGTGGAAACAGACTGAAGGGTTTTAAGTTCAATAGCTGTGAGCTGTGATGGTTGCCTAGAAAAACTATTACAGTTCCAGATTTTATTAATAGAAGTAATAAATATTCTTTGGGTGAAGGAGGAGGTAATTCCTCTCTGCTTTGTACTGATCAAATTTTATGTGGACCATGTTGCTCCATTCTTTTTATACTTGAGAGTTTAGGAGAAGTTGAAGATTTTCAAAGGTAACCCAGATGGCGAAGGGTCTCAAAATGCAAATATAGAAATCATTGAAAAGGATCAGGCAAATAAAGCCTGAAAAACTTTGGATTCATTGATTTGTGATGGATGTCTTCACATAGGATGGAATGAACTGTGACAGAAGTTTTCAAAGAAGCTGAGAACAAGTACTAGGAAAGTGGTAGGGAGTTTCGTCTCCTTTGTAGACAGGTAAGAACTTTATAACATTCAGAGCTGTACAATGATGGACTAGTTGAGTAACATGCACTCGTCAGAGGTAATCGGGGATTACATATGTCAAGGATACTGAAAACAGCAGGTAGTCTGTTCCCAAATAGAAAGACTCACTACTGTACAGATATCAGGTTTTATTTTCTATATTTTTAACTTAAGATTATAGTCAAGATCTTAAGGTTATTTTAAGTTTTCAGATAAATAAGATCGAAATAACTTTACAACAAACTCTAAATACTCACCACCAAATATTATCTTTGACAACTTTTACAATAGCTTTATTGAGATATAATTCATTTACCACACAACTCAGTGATTTTTAGTTTATCTACAAAGTTGTGAAACCATTACCACACTTGGTTTTAGAGCATTTTCATTACTTCAACCAGAAAACTTCATAGCCACTAGCAGTTAATCCTCTTTCCCAATATCAGTCCCAATGGACACCAATGGTCTGCTTTCTGTCTATAGATTTGTCTATTCTGAATATTTCATATAAATGGAATCATGTAGTATGTAGCCTTTCACGATGAGGTCTTATTTCCCTTAGCACAGTGCCTCCATGTTCTATTCACATTGCAGCATATATTAGTACTTCATCCCTTTTTGAGACTGGATGATTTTTCTATTGCATGAGTATGCCAGATTGTATTCATCTGTTCTCCTTTTGACAGACACATGAATTATTTCCACTTTTTGGCTGTATGAACAAGGCTGCTATGAGCATTATATACAAGGATTTTTAGTGGACTTATATTTTCATTTCCTTTGAGTATATACCTAGGAATGGAATTTCTAGATGCAGCTCTATGCTTAACATTTTGAGGAACTGGGAAACTATTTTCTGAAAGACTCTTAATATTTTATTGTATTTGTTTTACAAGTCTGTTAAAAATTTGTATACTATAAAAATCCAATAATCCTCATTACTTTTTCTTTTTGTTGTAAAATTTACAAATAATGCAATGCACACAGCTCTTGTGGTTTGAGTTGAGATGGTTACATGTATTTACCTATGTAAACTAAACTCTTAAAGATACAGAAACTTTTCAATATCCCAGGATATTTTCCTCTTATCCATTTCCACTCAATAACTGAACCTCCTTACTAGATTATTTCCTCTGTAAATTTGATTTGACCATTCTAAAATATCATGTAAAGTGACTCATAGAATCTATACCTTTAAGAAATAAGACTTCTTTCACTATGCCTAATATTTTCAGTTTATCATAATTCAGTTATTTTAATTTCTTTGTAGTGTTCCACTGTATGTATATATACAACTTTGTCTATCCATTGGCCACTTGATAGACATAGTTTTAGCTTTTAGCCATTGAAAATATGCCTTGGAGGTATACTTTTATTCTTCTCATGATTGGGTTTAAGCTATGATTGGAGATGCTTGATCTCAAGGTAGGTTTGTACTTACTTTACAAGAATCTGTCGGAGATGTAGTTGTATCATTTTATATGCCTGTGAAGAGCATAGGATGTTTGTACATAGGATTGTTTGTTATCCTTGTCAACATTTATTGTTATCAGTTTACTTAACTTTAATGATTTTCTTGTGTGTGCAGTTATATCTCATTATAGTTTTGGTTTGCATTTCATGGTTAACAATATAAGCACTTTATCCTTTGTTCATTTTTTCTTTTGTGAAGAGTGTGCGATATTTTTCTTACTTTTTTGAGTTGTTGACCCTTTTCATGATAGAAATTTTACATACCCTGGATAATAGTACTTCATTGAATATTTATACATATTACTTATAGTCTATGATTTGTATATTCATTTTTCTTAAGGGAGTATTTTTGATAAGAATCCTTTATTTTGAGGTCTTATTATCATACTTTTACTTTTATGTTTATTCTTTCTATTACCTGTTTTACAAAAGTTGTGCTCATTCCTAATCATGAGAATGATTTCTTATATTTCCTTTTTTAAAGTTTTATCTTTATGTTTAATTCCATGATATACTCCAAATAAATTTTGAGCAATAGATTTTTTTCATTGAATATTTAATTCACTATCATTTGTGGAAAAGATTATTTATTTGTTTGAAATGTGAAGTCACAAGGAGTGGGGGAGATAGAGACAGAACAAGAACTCTTCCATCCACTGGTTCAGTCTCTAAATGGCCACAATGGCAAGGTCTGGGTCAGGCCAAAACCAGGAGTCTGGATCTTCTTCAGAGTCTCCCATGTAGTTGCAGGGGCCCAAGAACTTCAGCCATCGTCTGCTGCTTTCCTATGCACATATGTAAAGGCCTATATCCACCATTTTAATATCACACAGAGTATCCACTGACCCAATATTTTTCTATGCTCTGCTTGTTTATCCCTCCTTCCATCAATTTCTGATAACCACAGATATTTTTACTTTCTCCATAGTTTTGCCTTTTTTAGAATGTAATTTGGAATAATCTGGAATGTAGCATTTCAGGTCATTTTCTTTCACTTAGCACACAGGGAAGGTTCCATTTGTTTTCATGACATGATAGCTCATTTCATTTTAGTGTTGAGTAACAGCTCATGATGTGGTTGTGCCACTGTTTATCCATTCACCTACTGAAGGACATCTAGATTGCTTCCAAGTTATATCAATCATGAATAAAGCTGCCATAAGCATCCATATGTAGGTTTTGTGTGTGGATATAAGCTTCCAACTGTTGGATAAATACTAAGGAGCATCATTGATTGATCATTTGGTAACAGTATGGTTGGTTTTGTAAGAAACTATTGGGGATGACATATTGGCATAGAGGGTTAAGCCAGACCTTGCAAGGCTAGCATCCCATAATGGCATGAGTTTGAATCATGGATGCTCTACTTCTGATCCAGCTCCCTGCTCATGTACCTGAGAAATCAGGGGAGGGTGGCCCAGGTGCTTGGGCCCCTGGAAAAAGTTCCTGGCTCCTGGCTTTGGTCTGACCTAGCCCCAGCCATTGTGGCCATTTGGGGAATGAACTAGTGAATGGAAGATCTCTCTCTCTCTCTCTCTCTCTCTCTTTCTCTCTCTCTCTGTAGCTCTGACTTTCAAATAATAAAAATAAATCTTTTTTCAAAAAGAAACTGCCAGGGCCAGTGCTGTGGAGCAGCAGGTTGACACCCTGGCCTGAGGCACCAGCATCCCATATGGACACCGGTTCAAGACCCGGCTGCACCACTTCCTATCCAGCTCTCTGCTATGGCCTGTGAAAGCAGTAGAAGATGGCCCAAGTCCTTGGGACCCTGCACCCTCGTGGGAGAACCGGAAGAAGCTCCTGGCTCCTGGCTCCTGGCATCGGATTGGCGCGGCCAAACTACTCTCCATCTTTCATTCCTAACATTAATGAATGTAGCTTTTTCTCCTCCATTCCCTTGCCAGGATCTGATGTTATTGTTCATGATTTAGGCCTTTATAATAGCTATGCAATTATTACAATAGATTTTTTTAAAATTTTGTTTATTTATTTGAAAGGCAGATTTTACAGAGAGAGGGACAGAGACAGAGACAGAGACAGTGGTCTTCCATCCGCTAGTTCACTTCCCAAAT